ATTCCTTCATTACTTATAATGGGGACCTTATTACACATTTTCAAATTTGCACTTTAGGGCTTGAAACTTTAGAAGGGTGTGGTATAATAAAAATATGTATTAGTCTTTGCCTCTGTTTCCCGACACAGAGCTACTAAAACTTGTGGAATTTCCTGAGTAACAGGAGTTTTTGTTATATACAACAAGTGCCTTTGACCATACGTGGATTTATGCTAATGAAGTGACCCTTGAGCGGGGAAGGGCTAGGTAGCTTCAAGGTGGCAGTGGCTACCAGAAACACCAAGCACATGACTAGAGGGCTGGAACTTTCAGCCTCACTCCCTACCTCTGGGGAGAGAGGAGGTGCTGAAGATTGAGTTCAATCTCAATCACCAATGACCAATGATTTATCAATGAAACTTACATAAAAACTTGTACATTGAGATAAAGGGAGACTACAGGTTGACAAACACATTGATGGGCTGGGAGGGAGGGTGCCAGGGTGGACACAGAGGTTCTGCACTCCCCTACACCCATGCATTCCTCTACACGTGAGTCTCTTCCATTTCAATGTTCCTGAGTTATATCTCTTCTAGTAAGCCTGATGTTAAAGTGCTTTCCCGAGTTCTATAAGCTATTCCAGTGAATCGTCAAATCTGAGTGAATGATCAAACCAGGTCATGAGAATCATGGAATTTGCAGTTCACTGGGCAGAAGTATGAGTAGCCTGGGTAACTCATTTGTGGCTGGTGTCTGAGGCAGGAACAGTCTTGGAGAACTGAGCCCTTGGATCTGTAGGATCTGCATTAACTCGGTGTAGTTACTGTCAGAATTATGCTGGATTGTTGGATACCCAACTCATGTTGGAGAACTGGAGAATGGACTTGGACAACTGACACATATTTGGTTACAGGGAAAAAACAAGAACCAACAAATAGGGTAAGGGCTTAGTCATGCCCGAAGATACAATGAAAACATGTGTTCGCCCTATCAATAGCTTTATGATTTTACAGACTTCTATTCCCACACGCCTTCATATTTCTCACGTAATTGTCATTTAATTATTTATTTTGACTCAGCTAAAGTTTGTGCACCAAATGAACACTGGGGAAAAAGTGAATTACATTGAAAATTTTTCTTGTGACATGAATTAATTTGCCTAATAATGACATTAGAGACTTTCAACCTTTGAAGTTCTGTAGAACAGGAGTGACGATGGTGAGCTGGGATATGCAGCCTGTCCGGCACAGCATATGGCCACCACCCCAGGGGACTGACTGATGGGAGAGAAGGGAAGGTGCACGGGGTCAGTGTGAAGGGCTGAAGGCAAGGGTTACAGAAGGAATGAGGATTCTGGGTGACCCTCCTGAGGGACTCAGGTTGGGGGAGAGGTCTTCAGAGAAGGGGCAGCAGGTTCGGTAAATTCATTATACTGTGTTCTTTTCCACCTCTCCTCTGTAAATGGTGCTCAAATGTCAGAACAGAGACATGCACCATGAAGTGTCTCCGAAAGTCTCCAGTTTTGAATTTCATCTCATACCAGGGTGTCCACTAATCCTAGTCATTTCCCTTCCTTTGTCCATGCTTTTCGCACATATCTCACTGATATTCTTCTCAACATGTCACCAGTCTTCATTCTCAGTGACCTCAATGTATGTGTTTATGATCTTCCCAGCTCCATGGCCTTCCAGGCTGTTGATTTCTTCTCCAAGGGTCTTGCCCTCTACCTGCCTCAATGTACAATCCCATGGTCATTACTAATAGCTGCAACCTCCCCTAACCCCACAGTCTTAAATCCATGTATTTCCCTTCTCTGACCACTACCCTCCTCCTATCTAGTATCCACCCTCCAATAATCCTTTGATCCTTTGTCTGCTCATGGACATTAGGCTTTCTGTGTTCTCACCATCCCCCTCATCATCCAGCTTAAATTCCACAGTGAATCTTTATAATTACCCTCTTACATATCCCTTAACCGCTTAACCTGTTTTTATTATACTCACTTTGCAACACCTCACCTCTCGTTAAATGCAACTTATTTCCTATTCTTGGTTGATATCTACAGCTGAATTTGGCTGGAGAGAAAGCTAACCTGCTGATGGATCTTACTGTAAATTCATGACCACAGATCTCTTAATGCTCTTTGGTAATCACCCTGCATTTTCCTGGTCCATTTCCTCTTCCACCCTTCCTAGCAACCCCCTCATCCCTTCTCTTTACTTTTCAAACCTCTATGCACCTTTTCCCAACTTCATTCCCAACGAATGATCTTGCTTCCTGCTTCACTGAGAAAATAAAAGCAATCAGAAAAGGACCCCCAAAGACCTATATGACCTATCTGACCTACCTACCTACCTACCTACCTATCTATCTTACTTACCTACCTCTCTCTCTCTCTCTCTCTCTCTCTCTCTCTCTGAATGTAGGTGTGGGTGTGTATAGGTGTGTGTGTATACATATATATATACACACATAGATACATATATATATATACACGTTTGTGTGTGTATATATGTACACAAACCAGCATCAGCACCCACAGTCTCTGCCCTCCTGCCTGTTACTGTGCATGAACTTCCTAAGGCTGACCTTTTGCCTGCTCAAGGGCACTACTTTAGAAATTGTCTCTCTTACATGATCATAGACCCCATCTCTATTATATCCTTCCTATTAGTGAAGAAACAACCTGACAAGTTTCCTATCTTAACAACTCCTCTCTTGACCACACTTCTGCCTCTAGCTAGTGTCCCATTTCTCTGTTCTCCTTTGGAGTAAAACTTGAACAAGTTGCCTGTATTGCTGGATCCAAGTCCTTTTCTCTCATTCTCTTTCAACTCATTCCAAAGAGGCTTTTTATCTTCAATACTTCACAGACACTGCTCTTGTTAAGGCCACCAATAACTAATGAGCTGCGTAATCTAATGCCCCGTCTCAGCTCTCATCTGATTTGCCAGCAGCATTTGAAACAATCGGTCGTTCTTTCCTTCTGGAGACTCTCTGTGAAGTTGGCACGCAGGATACAACATTCTGTTGGCTTTGCTACTGTCTCATTGGTTTCTCCCTCTCTGTCTCTTTTGCTGCTTCTCTTCTTCGGCCTCACCTCTGAGTACTGAGGAACTCTCCTGTCTCCTCCTCAATCCTTTACTTATTGCATCTAGTCTCACAGTCCTCTAAAACTCATATGTCTACACCAGATCTGTCCCCTGAACTCTATCTCATATGCAACTGCCCACTCAACATTTTCACCTTTCTGTTGAATAGGCAACGAAATTCAACATGTCTGAAAGTGATTTCCTCATCTTCCCCTCAACACATGCACCCCAACCCTGGCCAAATCTGACATATCCACAATCTTCCTCATTGCTGAAAACTCCATTCTTCCATGTACTCAGGCAAAATGCTTGGAATCATTTTGACTCTTGTCTTTTCTCTCATTCCCAATTTGGAACTTCCAAGGGCTCTACCATCAAAACAGACCCAGAATCTGATAACTTTTGTCAGTCTTCACCGCTACCATCCTGGCCTCAGCCACCATCAACATAAAAAAATAAAAATAAAAAATAAAAGGGCTGGGTGCGGTGGCTCACACCTATAATCCCAGCACTTTGCGAGGCAGAGGCTGGCAGATTACCTGAACTCAGGAGTTTGAAACCACCCTGGGCAACATGGTAAAATGCCATCTCTACTAAAATACCCCAAAATTAGGCAGGCATGATGGTGCGTGCCTGTAATCCCAGCTACTCAGGAGGCTGAGGTAGGAGAATCGCCTGAGCCCAGGAGGTGGAGGTGACAATGAGCCAAGATTGTGCCACTGCACTCAAGCTTGGGCAACAGAGCGAGACTCGATCTCAAAATCAATCAATCAATCAATCAATCCTGGTAAAATGCATATAACATAAAATTTGCTATCAGTGATGTTTAGTACATTCACAATGTTGTGAAACTACGATTATTATCCAGTTTCAGGACATTTTCATCAGCTTAAAAGGAAACCCCAGTCCCATAAAGCAGTCCCTCCCCATCACTCTCCCACCCGACACTGCCAATTCACTTTCAGTTTCTCTGGACCATATTCCACTGTTGCCTCGATCATGGAGAGCCTCCCACTGGTCTTTTTCCTGCCCTACTGCCTCCACCCCTTGCTACGGTGCTCCAAGAGCGAATCAGATCACATTACAGACTCCCCCCAAATCTCCAGGGGCTTCTTACCTCACTCAGAGTAAAAGTCAGAGTCCTCACAGTGGCCTCCCAGGCCTGGACTCTCGGCCACATGTTGCCTCTCTGACATCCTCTACTGCTCTTCCTACCCCTCCCTCTGCTTCAGTGACACTGGCCTCCTTTTGGTCCCTTGAACATCCCAAACACACTTCTTCCTCAGGGCTTGCACCAGACGTTCCCTCTTCCTGCAACTCCCTTGACCCAGATCTTTCTGGTTCCAAACTTTACTCACTTCAGGTCTTTACTCAAATGTTGGTTTCTCAGTATCACCCTGTCTAAAAACACAACTCCACCCCACCCTGACCCTCCTAATTGCCCCCACTCCATTCTACATTATTTATTTATATGAGCTGTTTATTGTTTATGCTCCCTTCCTAGCCTCCGAAGGAAATCTCCCTAGGCCAGAGAGCTTGTCTATTCTGTTCATTCCTATCACTTAAAGCCTAGAACAGTGCTTCATACACAGTCAGGCAGTACTGGTTGAAGGAATATGTGAGTGAACAGCAGAGGGGCAGAAGTGGGTCACTGTTACTTTTATTTGACCAACTTCCTCTGACCTGTGGTAGCCTGTAAGGATGGAGGGGATGGCCATGTCACAGACCATACAGAATCACGGCTCCAGGAAGGCACTACCCAGAGCTCCTACAGCAGGAACTCTTGGTGTTGGGAAGGAGGAATGGTGGAGGCACACATCACATCCTTTATCTTACCGATAATAACCCAACACCATCTTTCCATTATTATTCTGTTGCCTACGCCAGCCCACCAAGGGGCAGACAGGCTCCTAGAGGTCTCCTCCGTACCTGTTGTTGTCCACGTAGCGGATCAGCATGGGGTAGAAGGCATAGAGGTCTCTGCAGAGGACCGCGAACTCATCCAGGATGAGGAGCTCTGCCTCCTGGGTGTCCCCTTTGCCGTCAGCTTTCAGCTGCTCCTCCTCCTGCACGGTCTTGACGGCCTTTTTCTTCAGCTTCTCCAGAGTTGGGATGAAGTGGCTTCTCAGCAGGTCGGGCCTGGCTTTGCTGATGATGGGCTGTGCATACACTGCATTTACAAACAAAGGGCCTCCCCATCATTTCACGTAGTATGGCAATGGATGAAAATGAAAGACATGACTGAAAGATGAGGTTATGGAATCCCATTAACTCAGGATGGTACCTGCCCCTGTTCCCTTCCTCAATAGTCTCCTTGATATTCCCCTCTCATAGCACCACCTCGGAGGATGGGGGACCGAGGCCACTATGGGAGAAGGTCCATATTCCTGCTCTGCTCTTCCAGGCCGTGGGGAGCCCCTGCCTCCCCTGAACTCTTCACGCATGCATGGCCTATGCCACACCCTTAGCTCTTCACGACAGACTATTTTGTATTATTTTATAATCCATTCTTTTTGCGTTTGGCTCACTAGCAGATTGTAAACTTCCTGAAGGAAGCCTTTTATTCATAAGAACAAGTATTATGCAGAGCTAAGAGCAGGCACTCAATACATGCTTTCTGGTTATTTTTCGGAACAATCTGTTAAAAGCACATTAACCCTACTGCCATTCTCAGCCCTCAACACTTGAAACCTGCCAACCTATCGCCTGGAGACTTCTCTGGGCTCTGAGGGAGGGATATCAATTACAAATGAATAAAAAGAGGCTGGGGTGATCACTAGAAGTTGAAAAGCAGAAACAAGCAATCAGAGAAAGAGCAATATGCCATTTCATGGGTCTTTTTTTTTTTTTTTTTTTTTTAAAGATCAGAGTAATTCTAAGGAAAAAATGAGTGAGAGCTGTGAACCACTGACAATGTACTTTCACAGGTATAGTTCAAGGTATCTTTAGCTTAAGGCATTTCAGTTGGAAACAGCTTGCCTTCCAGCAATTTTCTTCTAAATCTCACTTTATATTTTACTTTTATAAAAATGATACTTTTAGAAAGAGAAGGTTAATGGCACTCTCTGATGAGATGCATGAACCAAGAAGTTGTGACTTCTTAGCCTTACTTAATGAGCAGCCCTGCTTTGGATATGTAATCAGAATGGCTAAACTTTATGTGGGTGATTTGGGCTTACTACTTAAAATTGACTTTGTGGCCAGGTACAGTGGCTCATGCCTGTAATCCCAGCAATTTGGGAGGCTGAGGTGGGTGGATCACGAGGTCAGGAGTTCAAGACCAGCCTGGCCAAGATGGTGAAACTCTGTCTCTATTAAAAATACAAAAAATAGCTGGATGTGGTTGGTGGTGGGTGCCTGTATCCCAGCTACTTGGGAGGCTGAAGCAGGGAATTGCTTGAAGAACCCGGGAGGCGGAGGTTGCAGTGAGCCAACATCACGCCACTGCACTCCAGGCTGGGCAACAGAGTGAGACTCCATCAGCACCAAAAAAAAAAAAAAAAAAAAAAAAAAAATTGACTTTGTTTAGTCACCAAAAAATAAGTGGCCTGTCTGAATGGAACCTGGATTCACTTGTGGAATAACAGGAGGAATATCAGTTTCCGTCAGTGGCCCTCACACTGTGACACTTTCCCTCTGTGTGCCTCGAGGGAGGCAAGGAAGGAGATTTTCTTTGAAACCCTTCCTTCCCTGAATCCAGATTTACCAAGTACAGCTCATTGAAAAATTACCTTATTGTTAACAATATTTTAGTGCTAATGGGTAATAGAGGAACACCAACTCTATTTACTCAAATGTCCACAGAGGCCTGTATTATCTAGCTGTCATTAGTACCCAATGTATTTACAATTTTGATCTCAGTTCATCTGTGAGACAGGAAGAAGCAGTAACTTTTCTTCCTTGGTCCTGCAGAAGGACATCGATTCCTCTGTCCAGGAAAGTAAATACCAGTGCTGGATTAACAGTTCCCTTTAGCCTAGCTATTGTATTCACAGTCCAGGAGATTATATGGGTGAAGGTGTTACCGGCAGACTCTACTACCTTAATCATAGGTCCATCCAAAGTAGTGGCTTCACCTTAGCTTCTGTCTCTTTGGACTATAGTTTGACAGAAATAACACAAAATTTTTTGTTTTCCTGACTGTGGAAAGTATAGTTATTCATTTTCCAAGCCTGTCCTTTTTCTGAAGTTGCTTCAGGAACAGAAAATTGGCTAATAACATTCATTGAGAGCTGACTGCATGCAAGTAACTTTAAAGGGACACAAAAGAAAAAAACCAAAGTGCTGCTACTGTGAGCCTGCATGAGAGAGTGTCTTAGAAAGCATAAAATGAAATACAAATGCAGAGTGACATTAAGGAACTTACAGTGTAGGTCAGATGGGAATGAGTTTTATACAAGTGGAAAACACACAGGATTACTTACCGGGGAAATTCTGGACAATCATTACTGTAAGAGCAAATGGGATTCTTGAGTACCAAAATCAAATAAAGCAATGCTCACTGGTGTTGAGTAGAGCTGATTAAGAAAGGCTTCCTGGAGATTTGAGGGGCTTGGGTGAGTAGGGGAGTAGGGCAGGAGAATTTGCTCCAGGAAGCTCTTCAGGGGAATATGTCAATTCTTTTTACTGTTAAGCAACTGGAGTGGGGATGGGGAGGTTTAAATATAGAATAGAGCTTGTGCAAAACCATTTTGGAATTAATAATAGAGATGAAAGAGAATCCAGTTATCTTTGCCCCTGGGATGGGGAATGGGGCAAAAAGGCATTGGTACCTGCAATGCGCTTCATCCAGGAGGCCTCATCGATGCCCAGGTTGTTGTTGATGATTTTCAGAATGTTACCCAGGATGATACTGAGGTGTTCAGAGGTGACCTTGGTGCAGCATGACCCTGTGCTGGGGAGTAGGTTCTCAGGCCCCCGCTCCCACCAGTAGGACAGGTAGTTGCAGAGCATGGGTAAGATCACCTCGATGACATGGGGCATCTCTGTGTACCGGGCCCCTGACTCGGCCAGGTCGTTGATTTCCTTCATCAGGCCTTCCAGCTGTGGGATGTCAGGACACATGTCTTCCACCGTGTCTGGCATCCCCAGAACTGATCGAAAGAATAAAGGGACAGAAATTCAAAAGCACAGTGGGTGCAAGCTTCTTTCTCTCTGTCCCTCCTTTCCTTTGGTCTTTAGAAATAAATTTCCAGAGCTTCATGGGCGTGAGCTTGGATGTGGAGTGGCTTTTGTCCTCCACCTATTTAGTGAACAGACTGCAGCTTCCAGAGGCTGCACTGTCTTCCTAGAGGTCACGTTAGGTTAAAATAAACATGTTGTTAAAGGAGCAGAGCAGACACAAGGATGAGGGATAGTTCCTAAGTCTACTCTGTGATGGAGCCAGTCCTCTGGCTTCTCCCTCTTGACCTGCCTGTCTGAGCCTTAGTGTGTCTCCTGCAGAAAAATCAGTAATCAGAGGAGAAAAGCAACTGATCAGTGTTTAGTTCCAAGTTGTGGTGCCTGGATCACATCTGTACAGCTTAGAAAGGGCAAAAAATAAAAAATAAAAAATAAAAAATAAAAAAGGCCACTCATCTAATAGTCCTTTAGCTGGACCAGAAACAACAACTTTCCATCCAGCTGGAATTCTGGGGAAAAAGCATCACAGGTACACTGATTTCTGGCTTCACAACAGAAATTATGGATGACCTGAGGTGACTTGACTGACTTCCTGTCAATCGCTTAAACCTTTTTGTTTCCAAAGACTGATTTGCAGGGAATCGTGAGAGCCCTATCTTTTCCTCACCCTGAATGATTGGGGTGCTACTCTAGACAAGGACACACAGGATAAAGTATCAACAGATGGTGTTCAATCTTCAACCAGGAAGGGTTGTCAGATACAAGAACTGTAAGCAGAAAAGGCCAGGGCTTATCTGTCCTGCTTCCCTTAGAGTAAAGGACACTCTTTCCTGCAAGACGGGAGGAAGACTAGAAGCATCCTGATGTTCCTGACAGGTGAGAAGTTAAAAAGGGCTCTGAGAGGAGGAACATGGGACAATTCTGAGTAAGAACCACAAGCACAAAGCTTAGCAAACACATCCACTGGTCTAACTGCTGTGTCTACTTCATCCTAAGGCCAAATGTCTCAAACTGGGGCAAAAACATCAGGCACTGAAGGAGCTAGGCAGTCTGGGAGGCCACAGGAAATATGCAGCTTGTTGTCCCAGGACATCAGCTCACTGGAAGATTTGAGGAAATTATTTTTGATATTTGGAATCATGTGCAAAGTTCTCATACATTTCCAAAGATAAAGCCGGTCTCCAGGTGATATGCAAGACTGCAAATACAAATTTGTGTTTAGCAAATTGGGTTATGCCTGCAGGCCCTTTGGCATTGGGATTACTGTTGGCTTGAGGTCTTTAGATTTTCAAATTTTACATCCATTGGAATTGAAGGAGTCATAAATAGGAGAGGCCATAACAAATTTCATGGCCTTTAGGAATACTGGTCAATTGAAAGGAACTGTCTCAATTTCTCTCATGGTTATACTGCACGGAGCAGAGATACACAATCATCCTGGCTACCTTGGAGAGAATCTGCAGCTGAGACAAGTGGTTCTGCCTGGAGAGGATGTGCAGTTGCAAAGCAATGGATCCCAGCAAGCTTTATGCTATGGAATAGGCCCAGTGAAGCACTATCACCCTTTCCCTAGTGATGACTTTTGTTGCTATCACTAGAGCCTTTGGTGGGTAGAAGGCTAAAAATCTCTCTCCCTTGGATATCAGGAGTGGACCAATATATTTTAATTTATTTATTTATTTTTGAGACAGAGTCTTGTTCTGTTGCCCAGGCTGGAGTGCAGTGGCGCCATCTCGGCTCACTGCAAACTCCATTCCCCTGGGTTCAAGCAATTCTCCTGCCTCAGCCTCCTGAGTAGCTGGGATTACAGGTGCATGCCATCACACCCGGCTAATTTTTGTAGTTTTAGTAGAGATGGGGTTTCACCATATTGGCCAGGCTGATTTCGAACTCCTGACCTCATGATCCACCCGCCTCGGCCTCCCAAAGTGCTGGGGTTACAGGTGTGAGCCACTACGCTCAGCCTGGACCAGTATCTTTTAAAACTCAGACAATTCAAAAGGATTTTGATTATAGCATGAATAGCATTAATAGCATGAAAGCCAAAGAACCATGAACTCCTGTGATTTGCAGTAGAAGGAAACTATGGGTCAGATATGGTCATTTGCAGAGAACGAATCTGTCCCGTTATCTCACAGCAGGACCATGGTCATGGGTAACAAGAACACAGGAGTCCGGAGGGACCCTTACAAACAATTTTACACCAACATTCTCAGAGTACAGAGGTAAACAGAGGGAAGTCAAACATTCTACCTTGAGGTTCTACATGCAGAACAATGCCACTGCCATAGATGCAACTGAAATTGACAACTATTTGCTGTGGGATTAGAAATAAGGCTCAGGTACATTTGTTTAAATGTCACATAGACAATACATCATCATGAACTCTTTTTACCCCATGCCTAAGAAAAACAGAGTTGCTTGAGGTTGCTGCACTGGAGCCGTTATAATGACCTTTAAAAGTTATTTATATGTAATTGGTCCTTGAGTGGAACAAACATTTGTGATTCAGTAGGTGTTTTGTACTTCAAATGCCACAGCAAAAACTCACAGAATGAGTTCTGAGTTTGCTAGAAAAACAGCCTCAGCTGTCCTTTTCAAATCAGACACAAGACTGTGAGGGGGAATCTTTAGAATCACTGTCCTTTTATCTTCTAGATCAATGATTCTCAAAGTGCGGTCCTCCTGCCAGCAGCATCAGCATTACCTGGAGACTGGCTAAAAATGCAAATTCCTGGGCCTCACTCCAAACTGACTTACTGCATTAGAAACTCTAGGGATGGGGCTCAACAGTCTTGAACAAGCCTTCCAGGTGATTTTGATGCACATTCGAGTTCAAGAACCACCAGATTAGATTCTAAAGTCCTGCATGCCTCATCTTAGCAGCTCGTCTCTTTGCAAGACAGACAGATAGTTTACATTAGAATTGGAGCTCTTTTCTCTTTGGTTGATTATTCCAATAGGGTATAGAAGAAAAGCAAACTGGTAATAGGATGTTTTGGTCTATCTAGTGTACTGATTAATGGATCACTGCCACCCGTAACCAAGTATTTATCTAGTTTTGAGTAACTGCACATAACAGTATTAAACTTTTTTCTAGGTATATCTTCATAATATTGGGATGAGAAAGAAAACGCACCAGGATATTACAGGGCATCAAAGTTACTAATCTGAGTAATTCTGCTGGCAAAGCATTAAGTGTCAATTAATAGAGATGCCCAATTAAGTGAAGACATGATAAATCAGTTCGTATTATATTTCTAAACCACAGGCTCACTTCATCTGTCACCTTATACATTCCTCCCCACCCTTTATCCCTCAGGCCACCCACTTTGTAATGAATGAAGTCTACCTTCTTACAGCTCATTAAGCCTCCAGTCATTCTCTGGCTCTAGATAACCTTTTAAGAGCCATACACACGGTCAGCATTCACTCTTTGTTGAATCCAACGATGAAAAACATGGGCTCAGGGGAGTTGGATCTAGATTCCCATTGTGTGTCACTAATGGAAAAAGTACTGTGTCATCTCTAATTACAACCTTGTCTCTTTTCTTCCTTTGGAGTATGCAATGATGGGTAGTCATTTTTTATTTATGAATATGTCTTATTAAATCAATGCAAAGGTATACAGAATGAGAAGGAACACTTTTCAAGTAGCTCTTGGGAAGGAGCACAATGCAAGAGACTCATTCCCCTCTCTCCCAAAGCTAACCTAGGCTTTTCTCTGTCACATCCTCATTTCACCCTGCCACTGTGCCTTTATGAACTGAGGAGCAGAGGCACCTTCTCTGTTTCCCCAGGCAAAGCTCTACACAGCGCTGGTATAAAGACAGAGATACACTATTTCTCAAGTCACAGTTGAAGCAGGATAAATGTATAAATATCCAGATCTGTCATGACTGGGCCCTATGTCCTTCTGGAGTCAGGGAGCAACACCTGGGCTGGCATTTGCCTGTGGATGTCACAGCCACTTCTCAGCTTCACCAAAGCCTGCTCTATTGCTCAGCTTCCCTTTTGCTGAAAAGCTAGGACTCACTTGGAATCAAGAGTGGGAAGAAAACAACCAGGTTGGAAATACTTTTTATACTTTTTTTTTTTCCCCCTAGTCTCGAAGGGAGGAAAGGGTAAGATGAGGCTGAAGGGGTTGGGGAAAAGTTAACTTACAGATTTCATATGGGACATTGGAAAGTTGAGGCATCTTGTAATGTTTCTCTCTTGACTAGCTCTGAGAACACTAGTCTCTGCTGTATTCTAGCTCAGTGAAAGATTTTTAGTAGCGGCCTTATTCGAATCGTCCTGGTGATCATTTCTGGGGGTCAATGTGCTCCTCCTACTTCAAGTAACAAGAAGCAAGCAGAAATAAAGCTGTGGTGGCTTAGCACTCTGCATTTTTAGATGGAAAAAAAAAACAGTGGGAGTGTGGTACGAGCTTCGTTGCTCAGAACGCTTCTTCCTTAAATCTCACGGCAGTTTGAGAAAGGGAGCTGGAACTAGATGGAATTGCTACCATGTTCAGCCATCTACCGGCAGTCTGTAGCAGTATTTCAAGAAAACATTCGTTCTGAACCGAAAAGGCTCTGGTTGAAAGTAATTTACTGTGACTGTTTCTTAATATTGATTAGCTTACAGTTCTGTAATTTTTGCTTCAGAATAGATTGAATCGTTGCAGTTCTTTCTAGTTGGAGTCCAAGCTTTTTTTTTTTTGTTTTTTGAGACGGAGTTTTGCTCTTGTTACCCAGGCTGGAGTGCAATGGCGCGATCTCGGCTCACCGCAACCTCCGTCTCCTGGGTTCAGGCAATTCTCCTGCCTCAGCCTCCTGAGTAGCTGGGATTACAGGCACGCACCACCACGCCCAGCTAATTTTTTTGTATTTTTAGTAGAGACGGGGTTTCACCATGTTGACCAGGATGGTCTCGATCTCTTGACCTTGTGATCCACCCGCCTCGGCCTCCCACAGTGCTGGGATTACAGGCTTGAGCCACCGCGCCCGGCCTGGAGTCCAAGCTTGATTCAAGGCTCCTACTTGAACTCCTCTAATCCTACTCCCTTTTCCTTGGACAGGATCACAATTAACCCAGAAACAAGGACCCTTCAGAAGCACATTTACAGCCTGCCTGGGATTTTAGTTCCAGATTATTTTACAAGGGAGGGTGAAAAACTGTTCCCGTAGAGGACCAGGTGGCAAATATTTTAGGCCTTGCAGGTCAAATTTTCCTGCCCCTCCTCAATTCTGCCGTCGTGCTAAAGCAGCCACAGATCAAATGTAAATAAGTAGGTATGGTTGAGTTCAAATAAAACTTTATTTACAAAACTAGGCAGGGGACCAGATTTGCCCTGTGGTCATAGTTTACCACCCTGTTATGGAAGCTATTGTGTCAATACTTTCACTAAGAAATTATCTTTCTTGTGTAATTTCTCTTCCTTCTGGTGCCTTTCTATGTCTTATCTTCCATGAAGATGAAAATGTGTGGTCAGCATCTTTAGAAGCACAGTCTCTCCATGGACTTGAAGAGTATAATTAGGTGATTAGTGTAGATACGCACCTCTAATACCACTCAGGGACCGTGAAAAAGCAGTCACATCCCCAGGTGCAGAAGGGGAATTGAAACCCAGGGCAGACAAGAGGCCCTGAGATCTTAGGATGCAAAGGATTTCAAAATCAGCAACGCTGATTCCTCACTGTACAGAAGAGGAAACCAAAGCCTAACTGTAACAAAGCCTTGCCCATGCTTATTTCTCCAGTAAGATGGAGACCTGCAACCTAGTCCCTAACCTCACCTCCTGGCTCCTCTCAGACCAAGAAAGCCACAGTGCTGCAGGGCTGCTGCTCCCTGCCTGTGTGGCTCTGCTCCTCTCAGGACATGAAATGCATTGATGACCTTTGTGGGGAGATACTTACTAGACCTCTCCCTGGGGGTTTTAGTGTTGAAGACCGAGAGTGGATTGTAGCGATTAAGGGTGGGCTCCAGGAATGCCACTGGTATGGCAGCTGCCAGTGAGGCCAGACATTCTCCAAGTGCAGGGCGTTGCCTGGAAACAAGGAAGTCCATTTAGAAGTTGTGCCTCCCACATGCTGACCCCATGCATTGGTGGACCTTCCCCATTGATTAATCCATGGACATCCCCAGGCACTAGGCTCAGCACGGCTGCATGCACTTCTCCTTTCCCTCATCTTTCTCTGGACACTCTCACTACTTGGATCCTATACTTAACTGGTTAAGATGATATAACACATTGTGCAGCTTTGTCCCTCTCTCCCAGCATGTCTGAGAGCAAATTCAGCTGGTATCCAAATTGAGATGGATCCTCACTGTTCTCAAAAATGCTTTGAAATCTGTGTCATTTCTCTGTGTCTATTCTCTGCTATGGATGGAGCCTATGTCAATTAGTGGGAACAGTCGGTAGCACACCAAAGTACCAATGAGACACAAAAATAAAAGACCTGCCTTACAACAGAAACAACAGGTCCTAAAACCTACTGCTTGATTTACAGGCGAGACCTCAAATAATGATTACTCCTTTTCCTCTTTTGTACAGGAGTTTACTCTTCACCATGTCTTAAGGTCTGTTTTTTTTAAGTCTTCCTGTGAAGCAAGCAAGCAAACAGGAAACAAAATGCTTAGGATTCATTGTTCGGACTCCAAGTTCTCCAATTGAGAGTGCTTACACTTGCCTGCAGGGTAGCCAAGTCTGTAAGTGCAGGGGATTGGAACTAGCCTTTGGCTAGTCAAAGCAGAGCTAGGACTGCAGTAACTTTTCTCCCTCCCAGCTCTGGGCTCAGCTTTGGGTATTTGTCTACTGCTAGTGAGATAACACAGTGATAGAGCTGGCTAGGAGAGCCCTGTGCAGGGACTGACAACTGTTGCTTTCTGATGAATGAGAGACCAGAGCCATCTGTTTCCCACCCACCATCATCTTTTGTCAGCCACTCGCCCACAGAGACTACATACCTGACTTACGAGTTTCATGTGATATCAACTCCCAAATACGAGGGATTTTTTTTTTTTTTTCAAACAAACCAATAACGTGAGCCCTTTGTTAGACCATGATACAAAGATAGTAGGTGAAAATGCACACAACAGGTCTATACTTAAGACTCAGATGGGGCTTACCGTATGCAAGCCCTCGCTCTGCCTTCCTCTCTGGCTGATCAGTTCAAGTCAAGAACCGATGCTGTGCATATGAGCTCATAAGCAGAATCCCTGTTAACTGAGGGTGCTGGGCTGCACCTCGGGGAATGTTACAGGATCATCACATGACAATGGCCAGCTTGAGAAAAGGTACTTGGAGCCAGGAGCCAACACTTGTGTTACTGTGATTCTGCGGAAGCAGAAGGGCATCCAACTCTTGTGGGTTCCCTTCAGCTCCTGCAAAAGCTGTGCCTAAGACTTTGCGTTAATTGCCTCTCAGTGACAACAGCCAGTAATTGCAGCAGCACCAACGAGATAGAATGCCAAAAGCACAGGCTGTCTTAAAGTGGGTAACAAGAATTTATTAAGGGCAGGTTAGTGGAATCTTTTTTTTTTTTTTTTAAGTGAGAAGTAAACCAGACAGTCTTAACCTTAACCTTTGTCCTCCAGATTCTTTCTCATTAAATGCAGGGCAAATACAGAACCTGTGTTCTATACTGAACTCTCAGTCAACAATGCAATCAAATAACATATCTCTATGGACTAATCATAAGGACTAGAGTCAACCTGCAGCTTTGTTCTAACAGAGAAATAGACATACTTGAGTTGGATTAAAAATGTGATCTTGGCCAGACGTGGTGGCTCAAGCCTGTAATCCCAGCATTTGAGAGGCCGAGACGGGTGGATCACGAGGTCAGGTGTTTGAGACCAGCCTGGCCAACACAGTGAAACCCCATCTCTACTAAAATTACAAAAATAAGCTGGGTGTAGTGTCAGGCGCCCGGAATCCCAGCTACTCAGGAGGCTGAGGTAGGAGAATTGTTTGAACCTGGGAGGCTGAGGTTGCAGTGAGCCAAGATTGTGCCATTGCACTCCAGCCTGGCGACAGAGTGAAGCTCCATCTCAAAAAAAAAAAAAAAAAAAGTTGATCTTAACTGGTCTTGAAAAAAATGAACTGCGCAAGACTGTCTATGATAGAATCTGCAGACAGTGAATCTAGGGGTATACAGAATTGCTCTGCTTGAGATATAAGATAAATCTGCTGAACTGGAGAAGAGGAGGAGGGAAGGGTGGGTGAGTTGGCAGAAAGGTATATATTCCTTGGAAAACCCACCCAGTTTTCATTTAAGTGATCAAATATATTTTAAAAAGTGATCTTTACATTCCTACAAGGGGAAATGAATATATGTGGTTTTAGGTTTTATCTTCTTCTTGGGCTTGGCTGATAGCCTACTTGGCCATGAATCATCGGAGCGGATAACTTGAAAATCAGCCCCCAATCACCGACACTGGATTGAGAAGTCCTCAGTCAAGCAATCTCTTCTTAGCTGATGGCTCCATCTTGTCCTTTGAATGTAAGTTTGAGTGCTAAAATCTCCCCACTCGGACTGCTCCAGAGGCGGAGTGGAAGCCCTTGGACAAACCAATCCTATTGTGTCCTGTGTATCAATGCTGCTCAGAGATGGAGACTGCTGAGAGTCAGGTGCTCTTTGGGAAGCTTTCACAATGCAGCTTCACTTCTGAGTAGGCCCCAGGCCAGGCCTGTTCCCCCCGCTTCTCAGCACCTGTTCTTCCCCAGTTATTTCTCTTCTTTACTAAGCTCAAGGTGGTGGACAGATGTGGGAAGACGGGCATCATTTTACCTTCAGACCTGAGTGGCCAATTCCTTTGGTGACAACTGAGCATAGTGAGTGCTCCCACATAGCAAATACAAGCATTCACAAGGGACAAATTTTTTCAGCAAACAGTTTTACCATCTTTGCCACCGTGGCCAATGAGGAGAAATATGGTGTTTTCTCTCTTCAGTCTTGGTTTGTGAGTTAGAGGAAGAAATAAGGAGATAAATTGTGAACGGGACAGAAAGGCCACAGGTAGAGCATTAGTGAAAGAAAATCTGGGTGAAAATCAGGAATAACAAGCGCTAAGATCTCAAATCTGATAACAATTTTTTTTTTTTTGAGATGAAGTCTTGCTTTGTCGCCCAGGCTGGACTGCAGTGGCACAATCCCAGCTCACTGCAACCTCTGCCTCCCAGGCTCAAGTGATTCTCCTGCCTCAGCCTCCTGAGTAGCTGGGACTACAGGTGTGCACCACCATGCCTGGCTCATTTTTATATTTTTAACAGAGACAAATATGGTTTCACCATGTTGGCCAGGCTGGTCTCGAACACCTGACCTCAGGCGATCTGCCCACTTCTGCCTCCCAAAGTGTTGGGATTACAGGCATGAGCCACTGTGCTGCCCTGCCCAATAGCAAATTTTACATGGAGATGAACCTAGTGGACAAGTGGCCTTGAGTTGGCTTGGGACTGAATGGATCCATTATTCCTCTCTTTTTATTTTCTCTTTCTTTCACCAAAATTAAAACCATGATCTCCCGAAAGTGGATTTCTAGGTTAGTCAGACACGAAGGCAGTCACTGGGGCAAAAGGCTGTTGCTAAGTCTCAGTTTTCCGGTGCTGTGGTGACTCGGGGAACCGGCCCCGCCCTCTCGTATTCATTACTGACAAACCTGACCGCTCCACAAGCTCCCTAACGGCATTTTCTAGTCTGGGGCACACAGCAATGCTAATTAGCTTCTTGCCAAGAGATAAACAACAGCTCTCTTGGCCTAGCTGTTCAAAGTTAAACCCAGGAAAAAAAAAAAAAGTAAAACCCAGAAGTCTGTAAAAGTAAAACCCAAAAGTCTGCCAATTAATGCTCCTGTCTGTGAGATATCAGTGTGAATGACTTTGGCCCCAAAGCCCAAGGAGATATTGAGCTACGCAAAAGGCTTGCTGTTATTAATATAGGGCTCCCTGGTCATTAGCGCCCCCCAGCGGGTAGTGTTGGTATGGACCAAGCTTCCCTCGGAGAAAGGCCTGGAGAAACAGCTCCATAATAACCAGAAGATACACTGGAAGACCTTATCATTGGATATGGAAACTCTCTTTTGTTCTGTAGTCCAGGCTGGAGTGCAGTGGTGCTATCATCACACCTTACTGCAGCTTTGAAAGCCTGGGCTCATGCAATCCTCCCGCCTCAACCTCTTAAGTAGCTAGGACTATAGCATGTGCCACCACGACTGGCTGATTTTTAAAATTTTTATAGCCACTGGGTCTTGCCAGGTTGCCCAGGCTCGTCTGGTCTCAGTTCTTGCTGCCTCGTACAGTATTTTTCACACAATACATACTTGGTCAGTGGTGACAGACTAGCTAGTGCTCAGTTTGTATTGCAGTTGTTGTTACATCCTAATTTGACAAGTAGCACTTTCCTTTTCAATCTCTCAGTTTTATTTCCATATACCTGAATCTTTTGCCTCTCAAAATCTATTGTGAGGGATACAGGAAAAGACAAAGACATGGAAGTGATGATAATAATGTCCTGCACATAAATGGTGCTTTGCAATTTTGAAAGTTCCTTCATGTATATTCCAGGGGGTACTAAAGAGAGGAAATACCATGTAGCAGAAAGGCAGAGAGCACAATGGGGACAGGGCAGGACATGTGTCTGGACAGCAGTATTGGTGACCTTAGAGGTTTAGAGAACACTGTGCAATGTTTGATCAGAAATAATTGGTCAAAGTGAGCTAGGCAGGATAGAGGAAACAAAATAGCTTTAAAGCATGAAGTAGAAAACTTAGTCTTCATTTGAAATAAAACTGAGACTCAATGTTTAATGTTATCGAGTTTCAGGCTCTGCTTTCTTGAACAACCTCCACCACATGCTCTTTAATTAAAGTATCTCCAAGTTAAATAATTAGGTATTCTGCATGATTACGTGCACAAACCATTACCCTTCTCTGAAATTTTGTGTCTGAAAAATCTGCTTGTCAATGACATCAGTGCTGTTGTCTCAATTAGAAAATACTCCAAAGGAAATGTCTCTACTCTGTTTCAATGACTCTGCCCCTCACAGTCAACCCTATTACCAAGGTGTCTTTAATCATTTCTATCTACAAAGCATACTCCAGGTATAGCTGGAAAGCAAGTATGTAGTGACTCCCTTGCATAAGTTCATTGGTCAAGGAGACGACAGCAAAAGGTGGTAGAGAAATGGTGGGTTCATTGTACTTTCCTCAGTGGAATCCACAAGAAACGAGAAAAAGAAACTGGGAAGAAATCTTGAGCTATGCTAAAATTTGAAAATGTATAATGACTCCGAACCCATCAAATATGGACCAAATCAAGCAAGGGAGCTGAAATGAAAACATCCTCCCAGATGTGAAAGGGGTCCTAGAAATTTCTGGAAGTAAATATGAGGGTTTTAAGAGGAGCAAAAGATAAGATTTTGCCTGAAACAATGGGGATGAAGGGCGTGAGCATGCCATGGAAGACCTAGTAGGCAGCATGAATGTGGGGCCATGTTCGGTATCACAGAGTAGCAGATGGAGACAGAGTGGGGAAAAGTATACATGTCATCTGCCATACTCATGACCTGGACTCCTGGCCTAGAGAAGCCACTGGAGGTCAGGTGAAGTGAAAGAGTGAGAGGTAGCCTCTTTTGTGGCCCCTGACTTGAGTCCTCCAAGTAGAGGATACAGTTACGTGAAATCACTAAACAAAAGTCCTATGACTTTATGATGCACTGAGTTACACCAACTTCTCATGTGGGTCAGCTGCTTACTTTTTCTGGGGGAGAACATCAGAGACTGAGCATTGTTAGTGCTAAACACACAGCTGGATTCAGGGAGAAAGAGAGTTAGTCTTTAGCCACCTTCTCAGATGTGAAGCTGCTTGCTATTTTTTTCTGTTCATTCTCCTTCACTTTAAAACACACAAGCACACACATCCTCTCCATTCTCAAAAACCAGCAATGTACCTAACAACCAACAAACAGCTGAAAAATATAGTTCAGGGGAAAAAATATTTAGGAAAAAAATACAAAAAAAAAAAAAAAAAGCAATCGGGAATAGGGACAGCCTTAACCTAGGGGCTTCTCCAAGCCTTGACTTCCACCAACGTGGAGTAGAAAGCATAGGTACAATTTTCATGGTGCTGCAGATATGCAGTTAACCTGGAATGAACACATGAATAAAGGATAGACAGTCACATGAAGAGCAGTCTTTTTCTGGTCTGACATTTCAGAGTTGACTTTTCTTTGACATTTTTTTTTTCAAGAGAAGAATGCATAAGCTTTACAAGCAATTTATAAACAAACACACAGACAAGGGATAAATGTGTGTGTGTGTGCATATATATATATATATACACATACACATATATATATGTATATACATAAACATGTATATATGTATATATATATGTGTGCATATATGTATATGTTTATATATACATATATATAAATACACACACACACACACACACACACACACACACACACACACACACAATGAGAGAACGAGAAAAGATACTGAGGATGTATTTATAAATGCTCGGCGGGAAAAATAAACTAAAGACATCTGCCTTAAGTGAAATTTGGCATTAATAGAAAATTTTTTTATTGATTTTTCTGTGATTTGGTATAAAATACAGATAAAACTTTGCCCAGCTCCTATCCTAAATTATAAGTGATTTATCTGTATTTTTTGTAAAATACTAAGGAAAGCCTGACAACTGTTAAGGACTTAAAATCGTAATAAAAAATTTAGTCATTAGTTCAACTAATTTTTTGTATTCTGGAAGCTATTTAGAAGCTGTAATTATGAAGAAACAGACATTTCTACAACATTTTTTGGTTTCTAGTACATGACTTCAAGTTAGTAGTTCCTTAGTTCTTGAAGGGGCTGAAGTCTTTTATTTTTGGCTTTTTTGAGAAACTGCAATTGGAATAAATGTAAGTTTTGACATGAGACAAGGGTTCACTGTTGGTTTGTTTGATAAATGAATCCCACATAGAGACTGCACATGGAAAGAAGATACCGAGGGATTTTAGATTAAGTAATGGTAAGCACAGATTGAATTCTTCCCAGTTTGCTTGTTTGAAAAGGCAAGAAAAGAAAACAAAATCTTCCAAGGATAAGAGTAAGATCCTTTTGTTAATACTGATTTTGTTAATACTGTTTATCCTTCTAATCTTCCCCGTGGATTAAACAGAGCAACAGAACACAAGGCATTTAATGCTGAAAAGCAAGGGGTCATCAAGGGCCTCTGCTACAACAGACAGATTAGAGAGGCAAAACTGGAACCCACACACTGCTGCAATAAGCTTGCTCAGATTCAAGAGTATTGACTAGCACTGCTAATACCAAAGTGCGCACTTGTTGAAAACTATAGCAAATCTGACAGCTGAGACCGGTAAATGTCCAGGGTTGTAGCACATAGAAACTCATTAAACACTGAAGCAACCGCCTCCTGTCCCTTGAGCTTCTCAGCAAACTTTAACCTCAGAAACTCTGGAAGCTATTTAGAAGCTGTGATTCTGAAGAAACAGACATATCTTCAACACTTTTGTTTTTACAAGCACATGATTTAGCTTGGCTATATTGCTTCTCCAGCCACATACATTCACCACCTATCTCCACAGAAGTTATAAATCCCAATAGCCTCATCATACTTCTTTATAGTGCCATAAGCATGTCATAACCAAGGCTCAAAACTACCAGTCCATATCAGTGAGCATTTTGGTTTTGCTGGATTGAAACGATATTATTAAGTGTTTAAAAAACTAAGTAACATTTTGCTAAGCCTGAAAGTGTTAGCCTCTTTGTTCACTAATTACCTTTCAACATAAATGTTCTTTCCTGTCCCAAGGGAGTAGAGGCTGCACAGTATGTGGTAGCATGAAATCTGCACGTCACCTACTGAAACAAAAAAGAAATGCCATTAACTTGCATCAATCCCGAACACAGAAAGGATCCATGAAGAGAAAAAGAAAAGTGCATGAGCATCAGGCAAAAGTAAAAGATCTCTCTTCTCTCTTTCTCAACAAACGTATCCCTTTTCTACCCAGATGCCAGTTTGCTAATTGCTGGACTGGGCAAAAAAAAAAAAAAAAAAAAAAAAGAAAACACCCTCCACTGAGCAATCCCAGTTCCTTTATTGGGCTTATCGTGAAGATTACATTGCTTCACAGGGAAAGGAATCACTTGACCAATGGGTCCTTCCATAATGTGATTTGTTTCATTACCAATAGAGACAGGCATTTTAGCCAAATTTTATCCAGCGCAGTATTTCCTTCCTTTGGGAGAAAGAAGGCAGAAAACCTGAAGCTTGAATGAGCCTTCTGCTCATTTCCCAGGAAGATATGTCTAACTGCTAGACTTTCCTCAGGGATAGAGCAAAATCCCTCATGCCTGCCTCTCCCAAATTCTCTGCTGGGTGTTCTGTAAAGGGCAATTCAATAGTATGATTTTATCATGTTTCCTAGGGGAATGGCATGTTTTGCTTGTGAATCTGCAGGCTACACATCTCTAGCCGTGTCTGGAGCTCAAACCAAGGCTGGGACTACTTTAACACATTCAGATCTAATTTAATGTTTTATTTTTGAACCAAGGAGTTGCATTGTTTCTATGACACAAAACAATGAGTTTGGATGTTCTCCCAGCCACCACCCTACAACAGTAATCATTGATTTTCAGTTGTTTAAGGATATGAAAGACACAGTCTTAACTATCAACAACTGGTCAAATTAAATCATGTGTCAACATTTAAAGTGTAAAACTAAAGTCTGGTGGCAGACTATCTGCACGGGGGCTGGGGTGGTACTAAACACGGTGCTAAATGCAAACTAAAATAAAACCAAGCAACTTTGGTCTTCCGAAAGCTCAGATAATGAAACGTTAGCATTTTTCCTTTGCTCCTGGTATTCAATGAATAAATTAAGGCTTCTTAACCGAAAAATGATGTCTGAAAAACCCAGGAGCAAATCTATATCTCCTACTGTATTACTCAGATAACCTTTTCAAATTAAGCAGGAGTACAATAGCTGACAGCCAGACTAGCAGATGGGAAATGCTGGTGCAGAATAAAAGTGGAAAAAAGGTATTAAATATTCAAATTAGGGAATTTCTTTCCATTCCAAGAATATATTACTTCATTTTTTTTTTAAATCTAAGCAGAAAAAAGCATAGAATAATTCTCTCTCTACTCTGCCATCAAGGTCAGCGTAAGTGAATGGGCCCCACAACTCCTATCTGGGGCTATGTGCACACAAATTCACAACAAATACCAGTAGAACTCACAGAGTAGATCCATTCCAAACTGATGCTGAGCGACGTGCTCAAAGATGGACGTCAGGATGGGGAGCAGAGCCACTGTAGTATAGTTAATATTCTGAGAAACACCTTTAATCTGCGTTCGGGAATGGGTGAACTTTCCTAGTTTCAGGTTTTCTGAAGTCTTCTCCAAGTCTTCTGCAGCATTTTCAAAGAATGCTCGCAACCCAGCCTTCACCAGCTCTGAGCCTGACTTCATGACAGTCCTGAAAGCAAACAATGTTCAAATCTAGAAGCATAATCTAAACTTTTAGCCAATTTCCTTCTTGAAACTGGCCGTGTCGCCTGAGCAGACATTTGCCACTCCTGTCACCCAATGACACTGTGTCAGGAGAAAGGGAGATGGCAGTTAACATCCAGGAAGAAACCTGAATCACACACTCCCAGAGGGGCTAGCCACTGGACAATGTGAGGAAAATACTACTCTTCAGGAAATACAGAGAACAATCCAGAATGAAACCAATACTGGTTACCCGCTACCATCTGTAGTAAGTTGCAACTGGCTAAAGTCTTCTGCAAATATCTAGTTAAAAGAACAGAGAAATGAGCCTTAAGAAAAGTTGTGGGATAAATAACTTTTATAAAGACTAGCTAGAAACATGAACTCTTCTGAGGCAAGACAGAGAAAAAGAGCAAGGAAATAAGTCAACAGAAGCTTAGATTTCTGTTACTTTGCAGGAAATGTCCTATGTTGGAGGAGAAAAGAGAAAAAAAGACACCTAACTCTTTTAAAATAGACAGCTGGTTCAGATTTCTGGGAAAAAAAAAAACAAAAAAAAAACCCAAAAAACATTGAAATGTGACCTGCAGGGATGAAGATCAGCTATGGATATTTGAAGCATTCCCTCACAATGACAGTATTTCATAAAACTTAGAATTGGCACAAAACTTACAAGTCATCTATAATGCTTATATTTGTATACCTTATTCAGAAGATAGGAAAGACTTGCTTCAAAGACAGATGCTTTTATCTATATCATTTTCCTGATAATCATTCAACTCAAGACAATAAAATCAAAGAAATAAAGTCAGTGAGGTTTGTCTTTATAAGTATTCATAAGGTATCTTCCTGTTTTTTGAGATGGGGGTCTCACTCTGTTGCACAGGCTGGACTGCAGTGACCTCTCATGGAAGCCTCCTGTGCTCAGTGATCTTCCCACCTCAGCCTCCCGAGTAGCTGAGATCACAGGCATGTGCTACCATGCCTGGCTCATTTTATAAATTTTTTGTAGAGATGGGGGTCTATGTTGCCCAGACTGGTCTTGAACTCCTGGCCTCAAGCGATCTACCCACTTCTGCCTCACAAAGTGCTGGGATTATAGGTGTGAGCCACTTCATTTGGCCCTTCCTAACTTTCTAGTCCCAGTTTTTGCTAGGAATGATAACTAAACACACCAACCTGCAACTGATCTTCATTAAACCAAAAACAAAAACTGGATTCTCTCCAAAGACTTTTCCCAAATTTCTTAAAGATTTCTCACCCTTTAATAGTCCTTACTTACTCCCCGCCTTTTTTGGAGCCATTCCCAGTTCACTGTGGATCTTCATCTTTGGGACACTCTTACTGTCCCATTCTTTTAGGTTGGTATCCTCCTTTGCATTGGGTCCTAGGAGGTGTGTCCTCCTCCCAACTTTGATAAGGATTTTTTTTTTTTTTTTAAGATGAGGTCTTACTACATTTTTTAGGCTGGTCTTGAACTCCTAGGCTCAAGCAACCCTCCTACTTCAGCCTTCTGAGTAGCTTTGACGATAGGCAGAAACCATGGTGCCCAGCTCTGACAAGTGCCCTTCTTAATGGGCATGTTAAAGAAAGCTCCCTGTCAGTTCTTTCTACTGCTTCTCTCTCTCTCTCTCTCTCTCTCTCTCTCTCTCTCTCTCTCTCTCTGACACAGGTTTTGACTCTGTCATCCAGGCTGGAGTGTAGAGGCGCGATCTTGACTCACTGCAACCTTCACCTCCTGGGCTCAAGCCATCCTCCCACCTCAGCCACCCAAGTAGCTGGGACTGCAGGCATGCAACACCATGCCTGGCCAATTTTTGTATTTTCTGTAGATAAGATGTTTCCCCATGTTGCCTAGGCTGGTCTTGAACTACTGAGCTCAAGTGATCTGCCTGCCTTGGCCTCCCAAAATGCTGAGATTATAGGCATGAACCACCGCGCCCAGCATGCATCTCTTTTGTCTCATCATTTGCGTTAATATTACCAGAACTTATGGATTATTTTTTATGACCTATTCCCAAATCCCTAGGCCATGGGATCAATGTCTTTGTTTCTGCTTCTTTTGAAGCCGGATATCTCTCTGCATTTCCTTCTTTGGCCATTTTGAATTCAGAGTGCTGTTCATCTCTCCCCAACATTTGTAGATTCACCACCCACCAGGGGGGTTCTGCCACATTCTAAAGTTTATCTTCTGAAAGATGCACTCTCCAGGAAGACAAGACAATAACTGATCAAGACTTAGCATTCTGTCTATGCCATGGTAGTGGCTCTCGTTATGTGAACTGAGAAAAAGAGAGTGCTAACTTCTAGGGTCAAACTCCTCTTTGCCCTGTCTTCCCTCTTTTCCCAAACCAGCCAGCAGCAATCTGTCTTCTCTTCAGTATAATAATTAGTGAGATGAGAGGGTCAGAGAGGAAGTCATGAGAAACTATTGGGAAAAGGGGGAAGACTTACCTTGTGTCAAGAGTCTGAGCTAAGATGTGAAGACAGCTCACCATTGTAGTAGAATCACTACCTAGAATAAAAAATATCACCTGTGATTCCCCCAAACTACTCAACCTGTCTTTCAAATGCAATCTTCTCCATATGCACAAATCATAGCCCAGTATAATTAACTACCAACACATAAAGAGCCGGGCTTGTGTTCAGAGATAATGCATTCATTTCTAGCCTGACACAGCCTTTGCTTTATGATGGATGTCAGAGGCAGAACTTAAAATTTTCATTGGTGTGGAAAATCTGAGCAGTTTAAAGGGTAAAGAGGTCATTTATCACGCTTCAGACCAATTTTCTATGGCAAATTTAGGTGACACCTTAGTCCCAAGGCCCAGGTTGTCTGAGGAAGACACAAATAAAGGCAAAATGCAAGTTCAGGATAATTAAGGGAGGAACGGCACCTTTAGCAACACTTCACTTACCAAAGAGGGAAATCCTGTGTCTAACAAGAGCAGCAAGCTTGCAGAACAGGCTGAAGAAGAAAAGAAAGCAATTCAGAAAGTCACGGAGATTAAAGGACTCATGCTTTGAATCCTCCACCCCAATGTCCCTTACACTGTGAAACAGAGAACATAGAGTGGCATTCTAGGAAGATGCACTATGTTCCTACCAAAGAATCCTCTGGTCTATGCCCAGGAACATGTGTGGTTCGCATTGCCTTGGAGAATCATGAAAGGTGACTTGTAGGTAGCTCTATCCTTACTAACCACAATCCCTCTGAAACAGTTATAGTATTTTGCAGTGACCCAGTGCAAAGTATCCTTTGCTAGAGTACCATGTATCGAAACATTCATTTGTGTGACATTCAGGGATAAACGAAGACTCTGGAAAAAAGCATGATTTTCCCCTTGTTGCAGTGGATTGCAAACCATTATACAGTCTTCAGCTGAGGGTGTGACGTTTTAGTTGGGTGGTTGGCAAGCAGTTGGGATTGCAAAAGTGTTAATGGTTCAGGTACAAGGTGAAATTGTGTTAAACAAAAACATTTTAAGAATTGTGGGCCGGGCATGGTGGCTCACGCCTGTAATCCCAGCGCTTTGGGAGGCTGAGGTGGGTGGATCACAAGGTCAGGAGATTGAGACCAGCCTGGTGAACACAGTGAAACCCTATTTCTACTAAAAATACAAAAAAATAGCCAGGTGTGGTGGTATGTGCCTGTAGTCCCAGCTACTTGGGAGGCTGAGGCAGGAGAATCGTTTGAACCCAGGAGGTGGAGGTTGCAGTGAGCCGAGATTGCTCCAGTGCACTTCAGCCTGGGCAACACAGCAAGACTCCACCTCAAAAAAAAAAAAAAAAAAAAAAAAAAGAACTGTATATTTTCTGTCATCTCCAGTTACTCTCTGGGCCTGACCAGGTTGTTGTTCCAATGGGGTCCTTGGAAACTAGGAAAGCCCATGATGTATATTTTTGTGTTTTTTGACTCTCCTTCATGATTTCACCCATATTTTCCACTGCAGAGCCGCTAAAGGTTCAGCTATGCCTCATTGTTTGACTTTCCACAGTGCCTAATGAGGACCTTGTGACTTTTGAAAGGAGCCCATGGATGTTTCTGAACATGCTGCTCATGGACCCCATCTAGGGGTACTGTGGCCATCATCTGACCTGTGTTGCTGAAGCTCTTGGGAGGAGATTGCTCAGAACTGACATTATTGACACTGGCATGGCTAGACAAGAACATTGCAGTTGCTTCAGAAAGCAGTGGAATAGAAAGAGGGAAAAAAGAGAGAGAAAAGTCACCTATACAGGCCACGGGTTCCCCTGGTGACACATTCCCAGTTTCTGATTCATATCTCGTCATGGAGCTCCTTACCCCATTCAGGGCAGAAGTCTTCCACAGGACAACTCAAATTGGGGAAGGAATACATCCTGAGCATCAGTGGGGATGAAAACCTGCTCACCTTTAAATGGTTTTCAATAAATGCCCTGAGTCTTTCTGGGTTACCTACTGGAAAGTCACATCCAAAGTTCCCATGGCTGGTTACTTGGTTTTGAAGTGGAAAAAGAGTTGTGATCCCCTGGCCTATGGCCTAAGAGAACACACAGTAAGTTACAAGAAATTTGGCAGCCACCTAGGGTGATATTAAATATGGGTTGCTCTTTTTCTCTTCCCATGGTGTTTTTTTCAGAGATGGGTATGTAATGCAAACTCATGGAGTTGGGGGGAGGGGATAACCTTGTGGGATGTGGGCTCTGTAGCTCTGCCTGTGATTAGCGAGGCTGTCTTGGGGAAGCCTCTTAACTGCTCTGTGTGTTCACCTTCTCACTGTAGACAGTCATCATGGGACTCAGGTTTCAGAATAAGGGGCACCAGATATTTCTGGTGAAAATGCTTTGAGGAGGACATATGTTCTGTATGAACATAAAACAATGTTTTTCTAACGAAGGCAGATATTTGGATTGTTTGATCCTAATATTAACATGGCTCACCTCACTGTCAGAAGTGCTTTCTCAGGCATGCCAAGGCCAGGATCTATCTGAAATTTCCAAAGGCTACTGCTTGTTCCCTATGGAACCCAGGATTTAACTGGAAGCAGTGTCCTTAGGCCAGAGTTATGAGTGGCCCAAGTCCCCAAGTACCGCTCTCCATCTTAGAGTTTGAAGGTGAAAAATGAAAGCAATCTCAGGGAGAGCCCGAGACCCATGGGCAAACAGCTGCAGATGCAGAAGAGGTGGAGCAAGGGCAAAGGATGCAAACAAGAGGAGTCTGGCAATGCAGAGACATTCAGTGCAAACATGACTGCTTCTCTGGGAGGGCAGCAAGCACACTGATGGATTTGAAAGCTATTTGCAAGGCTGATCAACTCTAGGTTGTATTCCCGCCATGACAAATGGTGCCTGGTTGAACAAATGTTACATTTCCATGAATTAATAATCTAAGAAAAACAGATGAAGAAAACAGACACACCTGCCCTCTGTTGGATTATCTGAATATCTCACTTTACCCACTGTTTCCCTAGCTTCTTACAAAATACACTGGTGCATTCTGCAAACGTTTAGGTCATCTTTGGTCAGCACCCAATTTTAAGGGGTCTTGTTTTGATAGCATTGGGCTTCTCCTTTCTTAACTTAGAGTAATTATGTTGCAAAATAAATCACATTTCATGTGGATGGAGAGGACTGGATTTTCTTTCTTTTTTGAGATGGAGACTCACTGTGTTGCCCAGGCTGGAGTGCAGTGGTGCCATCTCAGCTCACTGCAACTTCTGCCTCCTGGGTTCAAGCAATCCCCCTGCCTCAGCTTCTCGAGTAGCTGGGACTACAGGTGCATGCCACCACGTCCAGCTAATTCTTCATAGTTTTAGTAGAGATGGGGTTTCGCCATGTTGGCCAGGCTGGTCTGGAACTCCTTATCTCAAGTGATCCACCCACCTCAGCCTCCCAAAGTGCTGGGATTATAAGTGTGAGCCATCTCAGGCAGCCAGGACTAGGTATTTATTCTTGTTCTAACTTATTGGAAGAGTCACTTTGGGCAGTAGAGTGAACCTAACTGAAATTCAACTTCTTCATCTGGAAAATGGAGATCATAATACACAGGCAGGTCTCAGATTTTAAAACATTCTGATGTTTCACAATGATTTTTATACAAATGGGCGGTAACTCTTATACACGAAAAACTGCTTGATGCTTAGTTATGCTAAGTATTTCATAAAAGTTAGCTAAATCTCAAAGTTGAATATCCTCCCTAAGATGGTGATACTTAGTGGATAGGCCCTATAATGTACACTGTTCACTGGATGCTAGCATTTACAGACTATTTTCATTAGAGTCCTTGGCTTTTTACTATTTAAAAGTCTTAGTCCACTTCTGTCTTTCATTAATAAAATACAGACAGAACTTGAGGCATAGCAGAATCCATCTCTTAGCCCAATCATGACAGATCCCCTCTTTTCTCATTTCTGTTAATGTATCTACATGTTGCCTAGTGGAATGAGTAGGAAGGCTGGTGCTTCTGATAACAAGTTTTTTTTCCTATTAGGAATTTAAATTGAATTGTGTTGCTTTAGACTACAGATTTCAACTCATCCACACCAAAACTTGTATGATCTGAGTCTTTTAAATTGTTTTAATCTTACAGAGTCTGATAAACATGGGATTCAAAGCCGTGTCCACCTGTTTATTCTGAATGTCACGTGTTCACTTTTCCCAAACTTCAGAATGATCTTGCCTTCTTCTCAATGTTGTCTCAGGACAGATGTTGATTTTTAAAAATTATACTTTTAAGTTCTGGGATACATGTGCAGAACGTGCAGGTTTGTTACATAGCTATACATGTGCTATGGCAGTTTGCTGCACCCATCAACCCGTCATCTACATTAGGTATTTCTCCTAATGCTATCCTTCCTGTACTCCCCCACCCCACAACAGGCCCCACTATGTGATTTTCCCCTCCTTGTGCCCATATGTTCTCGTTGTTGAACTCCCACTAATGAGTGAGAACATGCGGTGTTTGGTTTTCTGTTCCTGTGTTAGTTTGTTGAGGATGATGGTTTCCAACTTCATCCACGTCTCTGCAAAGGACATGAACTCACTCTTTTTTTAAGGCTGCATAGTATTCCACAGTGTTTATGTGCCACATTTTCTTTATCGAGTCCATCACTGATGGCCATTTGGGTTGGTTTCAAGTCTTTGTTATTATGAATAGTGCTGCAATAAATACACATGTGCATGTGTCTTTACAGCAGAATGATTACTAATCCTTTGGGTATATATCCAGTAATGGGATCACTGAGTCAAATATTATTTCTGGTTCTAGATCCTTGAGGAATCACCACACTGTCTTTCACAATGGATGAACTAATTTACACTCTTACCAACAGTATAAAAGCATTCCTATTTCTCCACATTCTCTCCAGCATCTGTTGTTTCTGGACATTTTTTCTTTTGTCTTTTGAGATGGAGTCTCGCCCTGTTGCCCAGGCTGGAGTGTAATGGCGTGATCTTGGTTCACTGCAACCTCCGCCTCCCAGGATCAAGCGATTCTCCTGCCTCAGCCACCATGCCTGGATAATTTTTTGTATCTTTAGTAGAGAAGGGGTTTCATTACGTTGGCCAGGCTGGTTTAGAAATCATGACCTTGTGATCCGCCTGCCTCGGCCTCCCAAAGTGCTGGGGTTACAGGTGTGAGCCACAGTGTCCAGTCTCCTCACTTTCTTTTCTTTTCTTTTGAGATGGAGTTTTGCTCTTGTCGCCCAGGCTGAAGTGCAATAGAACGATCTTGGCTCACTGCAACCTCCACTGCCTGGGTTCAAGCGATTCTCCTGCCTAAGCCTCCCAAGTAGTGGGGATTACAGGCATGTGCCACTACACCAGCTAATTTTGTATTTTCAGTAGAGATGGGGTTTCACCATGTTGGTCAGGCTGGTCTCGAAATCCTGACCTCAGGTGATCCACCCACCTCAGCCTCCCAAAGTGCTGAGATTAAGGCATGAGTCACCACGCCCAGCCTACTTTTTAATGATTGCCATTCAAAGT